GCGCGCGCGGCCGGGGCGCGGGGCCGGGCATGGGCAGCGGCGGGGCGTGACGTCACCGTGACGTCAGAGGCGCCCCGGGCTGTCAGCTGGAGCCGGGCGAGCCGCGCTGACGAGGCAGCCGGTCTTAAAGGGGTCCTCACCCGCCGAGGGCGGACCCTACCGGCGGCAGGTGAGTGCCCGGGACAGCCGGCGTGGGGAAGCGGGGCCGCTCCAGCCCCGCCGCCCCGGGATCCTGCCGCCCTCTGCCCCGCGAGGCACCGCACGCTACGGGAGCTGCCCGGCCCCGGTGCCCGTGAGCCGAGCCGGGTCCTCCCGCCGCCGGCAGAGTGATGCCGGGGTTCCGGTACCGGCGATACCCACGGGACACACGGTCACGACAGCCACGGGCGGCCGGACCGCGCGCGGCCCCTTTAAGGGCACCGGGGGCTCCCGCCGGGCAGCGCCGCATGGCGCGGCGGCGCGTGGGAGTCACGTGGGTGGGACGTGGCGGCCGCTGATTGGCCCCCCTGCCCCGGCCCGCTGCAATCAGCTGTTACTGGGACGAAGGGCAGGAAACGGCCTTAAAGGGGCAGCGCAGCTCAGAGCCTCGCCCCGCGGGGCGGCAGCGGCAGCGCCGGGAGTGCCGGCGAGGCAGTGGGTGAGCGCTTCTGGTCGGGCCGGGCCGGGCCGCCGCTCCGCTGTGCTCTCGCCCGCCGGCACCCGCGGCCGGCGCGGCCCCTTTAAAGAAGTTGTCCAGTCATCGCGCGGCGCTGCCAAGTCATCGGGGTCAGCCGAGTTCTTGCGGCCACGCCCCCCGCGCCCGCCCATTGGTGCTCGCGGAGAGCGCTCACTTCTGATTGGTCGAGGACTTAGAGCAACTTCTCGGAATCGGGGCTGTGTCACCAGCCCCGGCACTGGGAGACGCCGCCCGAGGGCGGGCGGGGGCGGCCGGGCCGTGCCCGCGGCAGCGCCACGCCCCGTCCGGGGCCCGCGGAAGGGTCGAGCCCCTTCGGAGCCGCCCTGCCCCCGCCGCCCCTTCACCCGCTTGAAAATGCCAACTCACAGCACGCGGGGCACGCCGGGAGCGCCGCTCCGCACTACAATTCCCGGCGTGCCCCGCGACGGGGTGGCCCCGTCCGTTCCCAAGGCAACCGCCGCCCGGCCGGGAGGGAACCAAGCTCTCCCCCGGGGGATGGGCGGGGCAGAACGCCGGCCTCATCATCCCATTGGCTGAGCCGCGGGTAGCGCCGGGCCGCCATTGGCTGGAGCGGGTGGCAATCGCGGCGCGGGGGCGGGCGCGGCGCGCGCCGGCGGTACCGGCCGGCGATTGGTTCGGGGGCGTGGTTGGGGGGCGTGGCCGGGGGCGGCTGCGTCATGACTCCGCCAGCTGATCCGGGACGGAGCCGGCGCGCGGCGGGGGGAGGTGGCGGCACCGGCACCGGGCACGGCCGGGGCGGCACCGGCGGGGCGGCGGCGCCGGGCCAGGCAAGGCCACGCCAGGCTGAGTCCTGCCCGAGTCCTGCCTGCCCGAGCCGCGCAGGTGGGTCCGCCGGTACCGCGCTGGGTCGGGCGGTTCGGGTGGCGAAGCCCCGCGCGGCGCCCTCGGTGCTCCGGGGCTCGAGGGGCCGCACCGTGCCCCGTTAGGGAAGGTCACCTTTCCCCGGGGCAGGGCGGCCGTGGGGGGTGCGGCGCGGGGCGTCCTTCGCCGGGCTCCGCGGCGCCGCCTGGGCCGGGCGGCCTCGCCCCCGGTGTCGGTGGGGCGGGGAGCGGGGCCGGGGGGGCCTCCCCGCGACGGGCGGTGGCCGCCCCGGGGGTGACCTTCACTCCGGGACCGGACTGGGCAGACTTTGACCCGCGGCCGCTCCCCGCCGTGGGCACGGAGCGGAGCATCCCGGGCGGCGGAGCGCCGGGAGGGCGGCGGGGTGTCCCGGAGGGAGCGGCTTTGCCGTGGAGCGGCGTGGGGGGAGCTGCCTCCGTTAGGGGGGCGGGGGGAGTTGGTTTTACCGAGAGGAGAGACACTGGGGGAGGGGGGGTGACCCGGTTATACCGGGAGAGGGGCACTGCGTTCTTTACTAGCGGGGTGAGCTCCCACCGGGGCCCTTCCCAGAGCCGCTGGGCTCCGTCGGTGCTGGGAAGGGCTGGGTGGGAGCCCCGTTACCGACAGGGCCCCCCCTCGTCGGTCACCGGTGCCGGCGGGGCCCCCGGTGCCGGCGGGGCCGGTGGCTTCGGCGGCGGGTGCTGATTCACGGGCCGGCGGGGGTGGAGCAGGGCCGGGACCAGCTCGCTGGAATCCGGACCAGATGTACCCGGCACGCCAGGAATGCTCGGCATCCCCGCCGGGCCCCGCCGCCGCCGCTGCGCCGCGGCCACCGGCCCCGCACCGACAGCCCCGCCGCCCGCACCGGGCTCCGGCCTCGCCCGCTGCCCCCCGGGCCCGCGGCCAGCCCGCGGGGTGACGCCGGTGGGAGGATGCTGCGGTGGCCCCCGGGGGTTTCCCGTGGCCGTCTGTCCCCCACCGTGCCCGGTTTCCCGGGGGGTTCCCACACTCGGTCCCCAGCAGCCAAAGCGCCGCGTGCTGTAGCAAAGGGATTTTTCCGGGGTCACGGGGGAAGCAGCGGGGTCCAACACCAGCCCTGGGGTTGGCGTCCTCGCCCTCCAACAAAACGGCTCGGAAAGGGGCTGAGCTGCCCGAAATTCCCCCGCCTGACAAAGTGTCTCCCCCGTCAGGAGGCAGCTGGCTCCCGTCCAGGTGGGACCCTGCCAGCAGGGATGGATGCCCGAGGTGAGCCCTGGAGCGCCGTCACCCCCACCTGCAGCGGCCTCCCTGCTGCGGCCACCGGCCCTGCCCCAGCCGCTGGCTTTATCTCTTATTTTCCAGCAGAAATGGCCTTGGATTGCCCTGCCTGATCCTCGTGGGTTAGGGCTGGCTGCAGGTGCTGGAGCTCAAGCAGCACCTGCTTTGGGAGTGGGGAGGGATGGGAGAGTTGAGGTCGGGGCTGCCTCTGGATTCCCTTGGATGGGGGGGCGTCCCTGGGGGGAGGACGGAGCAATGGGTCAGCGTTGTGAGGAGGGACAGGAGCTGCTGTGGGTGACATAGCACAGTTCAATCCTGCCTCTGAAATGTCTGTTCCCTTCCCAGGTGCTGCCGTGCCCACCCTGCTCCTGGCTAGCCAGCACCAGTTCTTCAGTGGCAAGCTTTATGTCCTTCTCCAGTAGCTAAAGCTGCCAGTTGAAGAACTGTTGAATGTAGCCACTCTCTTCTCGTCACTGGGACCTTGGATGCCAGCCAGAGCCGTGCCCTGAGCCACCAGGATGAGCCACTCTGCAGAGTCCTGTGGATTGGAGGGCTGAGGATGAGCCTGATCAGGATGAAGAAAGTCTCCTTGGAGCCTTCTTGCCTGGAGCATTGCAGGCAGCTGTGCCAGAAGGGTTGCCAAACTGTGTCCCCCCCTCAGCGGGGTGGCACTGAGCTGGGAGGAGACTGAGAGAAGCATTAAACGTTGTTTTGCTCAACTGCTCAGTTTTGGGATGTTTGTTGCCCGTGGGTTGCCTGGATCAGGTGGGAAGATGGTGGGGACACAGACCCTGGAGGGGGCACAGCACCAGAGCTGTGTCCCCAGCGATGCCACTCGGGGGCCTGCAGTGGAGGGGTCGATCCTTTGGGCTTGTCCTGAGCCACAGGCTGGGCTCAGGAGCTGGATTAACCCTGCAGCATGGCAGGCAGTGGGCTGGAGCCCGGGGACAGGGCTGGCCCAGCCCGGGCTGGGCGCGGTGGGGCCGGGCCAGGCTGACTCAGGGCCGAGTCACACTCGGCTCTGCACGGCTGCTCCCGAGCTCTGGCCAGGGCTCCAGGGGTTTTGGGGCTGGCAGCACTCAGAGGGGCCGTGGTGAACTTTATTGGGCTCTTCTGTGCTCCAGGCTCTGGCTCCTGGGTGAACAGAAGCTCCAGACTGCCCTGGAAGGAATTTGGAAGCTGCTCCCCAGGGCTGGAGGAGCCCCTGCCCTGCACTGAGTGAGAGGGGCCCAATAAAGGCTCCAGGGAGCCTCTGCATGCCAGGCTTTCCCACAGGACTGCCAGGACCACCAGCTCCCAGGCTGCCCTGGTGAATGGGAGGCAGGGGAGTGTCCAGGCATTGCTCTCAGAGCCTGCCAGGAGGAGCACAGCTCATCCCAGCTCCGAGGGCGGGCAGGGAGGAACAGCCCTGTGCTGAAATGTCTGCACAATCTCAACTTAATCTGCCTGCCCAGGCTCCAGCTGCCCAAGGCAGGGCTGCTCCCAAACTTTGGCACCCAGCAAAGCGCAGAAAGTGGCCTGGTGTCCATTAAGTGGTAGAAGTAGAATAAATCTGTTGTCCTGGGGTCTTTCCTTCTTACATAAAGCTGCTGTGCTTGGTGTGTTCTTGCTGATGGTTACAAGCAGCTGAGTTTCTTTGGGGTGGTTGTCACCCAGAGGGGGTGGGACTGCCGAACACCCTTGGATCAGTTCCTCCAGCTTGAGGCACAGCCCGTCCCTCCCAGCACAGCTGCCCTGCTGCGAGTCCGTGCAGAGCAGCTGGCACCTGCTCAGTGCCCAGCACATCCTGGAGTGCAGCGAGGGGCAGAAAGTCGGGGTGGGGGGTGCCCGGGGGCAGGGAGGAGCAGCTCCTGGGCAGTGCTCCCCCTCTTCTGCAGCACAGGCTGATGTGTGTGAGAGCTGTGTGCTCTGTGTGCCTCACAAATCCACACCTTCCCTGTCAGGAAGGAACAGCCTGTGCTGCTGAAACCCAGCTCTTTCCTGGGTGAAATGTGGCTCCTTCAGAGCAGAAGCACTAAACCTGTGATGTCAGGAAATGTAAAACATTGTATTTCAGGTGAAATTCACGTGTGGGGTGCCAGAGGACAGGTTTGGGTGTTTATCACAAAAGCAGCACTGCAGTGTCTCAGCTGCTCCTGCACTTCATGTCAAACCAGGGGGGCTTTGGGCTCTCACTCAGTGTCCCTGTGGGAACTTGCCCAGCTCCTGGGACTGACCCTTCCTCCTGCACAGCCCCATGTGACTGGTGAGTAAGTGCAAGGTTTCCTGTAGAAAGCACAGCCTTGCTATGCAAAAAATCCAGTGACTCTTTCCTCTAGCATCTGGCCACCTCCTCCAAGCATCCAGCATGCAGGGACACAGCAGGAAGGGCTGGATCTGGGATTTCTCTGCCAGAGGCTGGCCGCTTGTGCAGCGGCTGATGTGACATTGCAGACAGCAGTGACACTGCCAGCAGGTGCTGCTGGCTCAGGGGCTGGGTGGCATCCCTCTGTCCTTAGGGGCAGGGTATCCTGTGCAAGTTCCTGCACACAGCCCACCTCGTTCCCTGCTGGGAGAGCAGCTTGTCTCGGTCACAGCTCCCCTTGCTGGGAAAATGTGTTTTTGCAAAGGAGAAGGTCAGCGTGACCGGTGTGCTAAATGAGAGCTCCCTGCCGACAGGGAAGGAGCAGGAGAGCTGCTGTGTCTCTGGCTGCTGCATCTGTGCCTGTGTGGTGGCTGCTGGCAGCTCAGAGCCTCAGCTGAGCCCCAGGCCATGGGCATCCTCCTCTCAGCCAGCACACAGAACACCAGCTCTGCTGAGCTTTGCCCAGCACAAGTGGACAGCCAAGGGCTGTCTGCAAACACAGAATGCAGGTGCTGGGTTCAGCTTTGCTGATGGTTTTATTGCTCCAGGCTGGGAGGATGTGGAGCTGTTGACACTTGGTTGTGAGCCCCTGGCAAGGGGCACGCACCACACTCAGCTTTGTGCCAGCGAGGGGATGTTGCCAATGTCACAGGCCCTGAAAACAAGAGGTGGGTTGGGGATTTGCAGGGACTCCTTTTGGTTTTGTGTCTCTCAGTGGGCTCTGCTGACGTGGGGAACAGCACAGAGCCAGGATGTCACTTACTCTGCTTCTTCTTTGGAGATTTGTTTCCCCAAGTACAAAACTTCTGCAATCAGAGACACCATGGGGTCACAGTTCAGGCTGGCAGCTGCAGTCACACGGCCATCCCTGGCACGGAAAGAGGAAGAGTGTGGGTCTCCTCAGTGTACAGAGCTCAGCACAGCAGCGTCCCCGTGGCACAGTGGCCAGGGAGCAGCTGTGCTCCAGAGGGCTCAGGGCAGGGTGGCTGCTGCTGCAGGGTGCTCAGGGACTCGTGGCAGATTGCCTGGCACTGCTGGGAGCTGGGCACTGAGCCTGGCAGCAGTGGGGCAGAGGAGAGATGTGTCCCAGGCTCTCTGCCCAGCTGGTGTCATCGTTTGAGTTCATTCTCTTCTCCTTCCCTGCCCTGCTTTGGTTTTCTCTGATTCAGCACCCAGCAGCTGCCTTTAGTGCCCAGCCTGGGGATGTGGAGCCTCTGTGGGATCCCTGCAGCTGTAAGACAGAGGGCTGTGCCCTGTTCCCAGGGCTGGCCATGGATTCATGGATTCACTCACCTGATGTAAAAGATCAGGAATTTCTGTTGCTCCAGGCTGCCCTTCACAACAGTGTCCGTGTGTCCCTTCCCACAGCCTGTGGGACAGAGCCTGCTCAGGAGCCCTGGCACAGCAGCTTGCACCATCCCACCTCAGAGCCAGTGCTGGGGACAGAGGGGACAGTGCCTGGGGCTGGGACGGGGCTGGGGAGCAGACATCAAGATCCTGCACTGAGAAGCAGAACTGACTTTGAGCCTCTCCTTGATCTGGAGAGGGAAGTTCTTCCTCTGTGACCTCTAACCCACTGTAGATCAGCAAGGAACCAGAGCTCTGGGTGAACTCCAGCCCCAGGGCTCAAACTCACCACGGCAGCCAGTCCCGAGCCTGAGCTGCTTCAGGTGACCTCTGCAGCCAGGTGTGTTTACAGCCCCAGACCCTGGCAGTGGAGGGAATTCCTCTCTCCCCTCCCTGCCCTCCCTACCTGCGTAGCGGATGCTTTTCCCAAGCATTGTGGTCCAGAAGTAAGGAACAGTGTGCAGCTCCTCCCCTCTCCTCAGCATGTTCAGAGCAGCACAGTGACCTGGCAGGAGCAAACACACTGAATATTCCTCCTGCAGCTCCGTAACAATTGCTTCCCGTGTCTCCTGCTGTCCCTGCTGTGCCGTTCCCCTCCCTGAGGTGACGTGTCCCTCACCATGGGCCTCAGCCACTTGTTGGTGCTGGATGCTGGACCTGTCCCCACCCAGCAGAGCCACTGGGAAGGTGACCACGTCCCCCGCAGCGAAGACCTTGGGGATGTTGGTTTGCATGTGCTAACGAGCAAAAGGCAATTAGTGCAGTGACGGGAGGGAAGGGATGGGGTATGAGCTGGGATGCTCAGCTGGCACTCACCAGATCGACCAGGATGGCACCTTTGTCATCCCTGGCAAGGGAGGTGCCCTTCAGGAACGCCGAGTTGGGGGTGGACCCTGAGGGGAGAGGAGCAGGGATGAGCTGCAGAGAAGCTCTGCAAGGACAGGGAGGAAATTTGGCCTCACAGTTCCTGCTCCTGCTTGGAGCAGTGACCTGTGCCTGGGCTGGGGCTGAGCCAGGGCAGGGGCAGCCACGCCGGGGCCCAGGACACAGCAGGGACCTGTGGAGCTCAGCAGGAGCCAAAGGCACAGCGAGAGCGTCAGCAGCTCCTCTCCTCCTGCCTGTGTGTGCTCGTGGGCTGCTGACCTCTCCAGGGGCTTGGGGCCAAGGGGAAGGGCTGGATGAGAGCAGAGTGGGAAAGATAACAGCAGGGAATGGCGTCCTGGAAATGAGCTGTGGTGCCCTGGGCTTGCTGGATGTTATCCCCATTCCCAAATCTGCCTCCCTGTCCCAGCTGGGGTCTCTTACCTATTCCCACCACCACCACATCTGCAGGGAGCTTCTCTCCGTTGGCAAGGACAGCCTCTGTGACCTAGGAAAGAAGGAAAGGTCATCAATAAAGAGTTAAAACCTCTGTCCTAATTCCCACAGCCTCCCTGCTGCTTTGCTCTTTGCTGTCTTTTTTTCTTCCCCAGGTTTGGATCACCTTGTCCAACTAATGTGTGTTGCTGGGAATGTAAAAGAAAATCACGCTGTTGTCCCTGGGAGAGGAACATTTAGTGGTGCCCTTTGAGCCCAGAGCTGTGCTCAGTGAAAAGGAAGGGAGGGTCCAGACATGGGAGAGGAAAGCCTGGTGCAGGCACTGGGTTATAGCTCAACTTGGGCTTTTTTCCCCTAAAATTAGCAGTTCAGGGATCACAAAGGCATGACTGACCTTTCCATCCTTTCCTTTCAGCTCACACAGTTCTGTTTTCATGTGGAACTTCACCCCTTTATTTTGCAGCATCTGAAAAGGACTGGTTTGAGTATTCACTAGGAAATTCCAGGCTATAAAAACAGCTGTAGCCAGCCAAAAGCCAGGCAGGCAGCTCTGCTGCTGCTCCAGGCTGCAGGGAGATTCCATCTGTGTCCCTGGCTGCTGCAGGGACACAAAGCCTGGCTTTTCTCTGCAGTGCTGGTCAGGACTGGTGTGTGAGGTGGCTTTGGGGTGAAGCATTGATGCTGTGGGGGGAAGACTGGGACCAGCCGTGT